AAATAGGCCTCACCAGCTTCCTATCACAGCCAATAAGCTGTGCCACCAAACACACAAAGGCAAGCTTACTGATGCAGAGGTTAGTGCTAAGAAGTAAAGCAACCAGAGGTGACACAGTAAGAGATGTGAAGTGTATTCTCTAGACTAGAAGGAGCAGTAGAAGGTAGGGCTGCTAGCTACCAACAGAGATGGGGGATCAACGAGAAGATCAAGTCTGAGGTTCTCTCCCTTAAACCCCCTACTATTTATACTAATACTGTTGAAGTCGGTGCTGTAGCGCTGTCAATTTTAATTGCACCAAGTCTTGCATTGTGCCATACATGGTTTGCGCTGTCCGCTACCTACCATAATTTTTCTATAGTCACAACTTCCAGATCCATGGACATATCACATGTTCTTCATTGTTACAACTAACTGTCAAGCGAGTAAGTGGAGACGAGCGAGGCAGGCAGGAGCACCGACGAGCTCTGATTGCAGTGAGACTGGAGCTGAGCTCAACAGGCAGGACTGGAGACAAGATGTGTATTGAGCGAGGTATCTACAGAGCAAAATACACGATGGCTTACCTGGAGACAAGAGGTCAAAACTAGAGTCTCCAGGCAGCAAGGGATCCAGCTATATACGAGAAATGAACAATGGGTGCTTAGGGACAATAGCGTCACCATGGATACAGAGTACGAGGGATGCAGGACAATAGCAAAGGAGAACACAAGGGGAGCTATTGTCCATGTGCAAACAAGGGGAAACCATGGTGAATAGAGTGTTACCGTTGGTACGCCCCACCCCCTATCTTTTCGCTGTTGGACTACTCCTTCTTGTCGCCCTCGTGTACACTCCACCCCCCTTCCTGTTCTCGGCGACCTATGCTTACCTTTCCCGTTCCCCCGTCGTCCGCCTGTACACTACCATTCCCCATTCCGCCCCCTGACGACTGCGTTCCTAGCTCCGGCCCTCTCCCTTAATATTTCCTCTTTCGTCTATATGACCGGACCCTGAGTCCGACCCTGACCTTTTCCCTTTTCGGTTACATTACTTTACCCTGACCCAGACCCAGACCCTTGTCGCACCCTTTTCCCTTTTCGGTTACATTACCCGACCCTGACCTAGACTCAGGACCCTGTCCCGCCTCTATCCTCTTTCGGTTATATCACAGGACCCTGACCTAGGTCGTGTACTATACTGGGCCCAGCCTCAACCAGACGTGTTCCTTTACAGTCTCCTCATACCTCCCCACTTTGGTCGGTTCCCTTCCCCTTCCTAATACGGTCGGTACCCCATAGTATATAAGGAGGCCTGTAGTCAGTAGAGGCTCCCCACTTCTGTTCTCTTCTTCGTTACCTCCTGTATCCCTATACCCCTCAATCTAGGGACTTGTGTGATACTCTCTCCCCCCGTGTGCTACACCGCGTACTTGGATAAGTCCGCGTGATAAGTCTGGATAGACTTGTGTTAGTACTTCAGCGTAACATAGAGAACAAGGGGTGAATGTACAAGGCGGTGGTCTGAATCAGAAGGGAAATGTAGCACCGTGGGGGCGGTTCGTGACATTTACAGCATTTAGCTACTAATACAGCATTCATAACATAAAGCACACTCTATGGCACACTTGATACCATATATATAGCTCTAAACATCACATATATACAAGCATCAATAGGAAGAACCAAAGGTGAGGTGTCACCACTTTGCCTAAGTCTGGCAAAAATAGGCATATAGTACTTGTGGATAGACTATATATGAGCTCTGATAGTGCAATGACATGGAGCACTATCTTGAAATAGCAGTGCCACCTAATGGTGAGGTTAAGAGTTTAGAGTTGGATACTAATAGGGAATAATTTTTTAATATATTTGTTCTAGCACTTGCAGTGCATCTAAGGCTTATAGGCAGATGATTTTTGGGTCATATAAACTATTTCTAAACTAGTTAGAGATTATGGACCATCCACTGCTATCATTGTCTACTGTAGTCCTATTTGTGTCCACTCTAGTGCTACTTTGCACCAATTTGTATGATTACAGTAAAGTAGCATGATTACATTTGGGGACCTCTCTATTTTGCACTATTTTGCACTATCTGACTACTCTGTATATGTAGAGCCAATTTGCACTAAATAGATGTGATTTGCAGAGGTGGTTTCTACAGATAAAGTAGTGGAACAAGAGTAGAATAACATGGAAAAGGTAGCAAGTGGGGGAGACAAAGGCTAGTGTTTGCATTTCTTATCCCCTTTTTGAGACAGAGGGTGGTCCTTCCTATAGGTGGCAAAGAGTTCTGCAGCATTTTTGAGTTTATAGACTTGAGCTCCCATAGGTTCTCTAATAGTGGATACTCCTTCCACTTGATTTGATATTGATTGGTGCATTCTTCAATGGTTCTTTCATACTATCATGGCCTCTACTTCCAGCTGCAGTGGGCCTCAGAGCGGTCACAATGGCCTAAGTCAAGCTCTATAAGTCTTATCATTGCAGGAAACTGTACTACACACCTAAGTCAAGCTCTGTAAGTCCTAAGAACTGCAGAGTCGACCCAGGCGCAGATGACAGCCCACAATGCATGTGGGAACTAGTTAATATGACCATACACAAACTGCGCCCAATTGTCTCCCAATGGAAGCCTAGTTAGAGGGACTACTATAAACATCCTTGTCCCTAAGCTTAGTGCCAATTTCCTCTGATCCCTATACTGCTCCATGAATATGATTGATAAGGAATAAAGAAATCATTTACTATGAGATGGACTCTCCATGACCTGACCGTAACAAGATTATTGACATGATAAAACATTCTCAGATTCTGAAAGTGTTTTATCAGATCAGAACAAGTGCTCAACTACAAAGTTTCTTACTCAAACTGCACAGCTTTATAGTTAGGGTCAGCTTTTGTTACTTTCAATAGATCAGATTGAAGTGTGGCAGTGCCAAAATTTCTTATATTTTTGACTGCTTTCTAATGGCCCCCCTGCTATAGGCACCCTCTGCACGAGTCCAGCTCTACGTTCACTACATGGTGTGCCCTATCTATAATGGCTTAAGTATGATACCTACATATTGAGAGCAGCTTTCTAATAAGACAATAACAGCAGTGTCAATATTGAGGCATTTGTGCAAATTGTCTGTTATATCAATATGTCTTTAACTAGTAGGACTATTTGAACATCACCAAGTGCTTTAGAAATCTGCTGAACGGATTACATCTTTACATATTTTGTTTCAATGCTTATGTAAGTAATGTTGATAGTTGTTCTATTGGCCCTTGTGTCATGCTGAAGTACTAACACAAGTCTATCCACCCCCACGGCGCTACATTTACTTTTCAATTCGGACCACTGCCTTGTACGTTCACTTATTGTTCCCTACTCGGTATGGTTTCCCTTTGTCTGCACATGGACAATAGCCCCCTTTGTCCCCACGTCCGCTATTGTCCTACATCCCTTGTACTCCCATGGCGACACTATTGTTCCCTAGCGCCCATTGTTTGTTCCCTGTATATAGCTGGACCCCTTGCTACCTGGAGACTCTAGTTTTGACCTCTTGTCTCCAGGTAAGCCGTCGTGTATTTCGCTCTGTAGATACTTCGCTCAATACACATCTTGTCTCCAGTCCTGCCTGTTGAGCTCAGCTCCAGTCTCACTGCAATTAGAGCTCGTCGGTGCTCCTGCCTGCCTCGCTCGTCTCCACTTACTCGCTCAACAGTCAGTCGTAACAGTACATTGGTGTAGCACTCAGGGGAGGAAGTATTGCACAAGTCCCTAGATTGAGGGATATAGGGATACAGGAGTGTAATGAAGAGGAGAACAGAGGTTGTTAAGACTGAGCCGCCGGAGTTCCGGAGTTCAGGGTCAGAGCTGGGCAGACACGGGGAGAGGACTTCGGCCAAGCCATTGGCAACGCCCTGAGGGTCCCGACGGTGTCCTCGATTTTAAAGTCGGAGGTCGGGCGGAGATCGGACGGAGATCGGACGGAGATCGGACGGAGGTCGGCAGAGAATGGACGGAGACAGGGAGAGTAGATTAGAGTAAGATGACTGATAGAGTACAAACGGAGCGTAAGGTAACGAGATATCCGAACTGAGGAACACCGCACTAAGTCCGGGGGTTTATATACTAAGAAGCCGGTGTCCCCTAAGTCCGAATCAGAGGTGGAGGTCCGATTGGAGGTGGCGGAATACTGACGCTAAGTGGAGAAGTGATGTAAGTGGCGCCAGGCACTGATATGGGAAAACGGACATTCCAGTGGAGATAGGGTAGACGCTCAGAAAGCCATATGGGCCCCGGCAGGGAACAGAAAGGGAATCGGAACCAGTACGTAAGTGTCTATTCGTAAGCAAGTCCGGG